GACAAGATTGGTGACCTTCTTTCCACAGAACTGAGCCCTGAAGCCGCCACCCCCTCCGGCCGAGGACACAGGTTTGCTGTGGGCGCCCACCCTGAGCTGAGAGGGACCCTTCAGCCCGTGCTCTGCAGGCTGGCGCACCTCACACTGACCTTGGTGGGGGCCTGGGTCCCCAGCCCCTCCCATTCAGGAAGTGGAGGGTGAGGGAGGGCAGCTCGCTCCCCCCACCCCCGCCACCCCCCCGGAGATTGTAGCCCAGATGCTTGCAGTGTGCGTGTGTGCATGTGCGTATGCAGTGTGTGCGTGAATGTGTGCGTGAATGTGTGCGCGCGTGCACCCATGTGGAAGGGAGGGGATGAGATCTCAGGCTGCAGCTGCTGGGTGGGAGCCAACCAGGTCAGGTTTTCTGGAAGCCCTGCCTTTACCCCTTCGCTGCTGCTCTGGCTCTGGCCTCCTGCCCCAACTCCAGCTTCTTCACAGGCCTCACCCTCCTCCTGGCGCCCTTTCCCAGGATCTGGATTGAAGGTGGGGCAGGTGGGGTGCGTACATAGCTGGCCCGATGCCTCTGAGAAACATCCCAGGAATCCTGTTCTTTCCCTCTGGATGGCCGCAGGTCTGCAGGAGGGTCCGGAGCGACACCGCTGTCCCAGCTCTGAGGGCTTAACTGCCCTCCTGAGGCCGGGTGTCTGGTCTGGTACAGCCCTTGTCAGGTACCCTGAGCATGCGCTCCTCGCGCTGGCGGTCTTGTGGGTGTTTCAAGGCCCTGACTGGCTTAGGGCAGCAAGAGGCAGGACAGAGGGTCGGGTGGCATCTGGAAGCTCAGCGTCAAGATGAGGGGCAGAGTGTCCCCCCCCCCCCCGCCCCCCGCCTTGGATGACTGTCGAGGGAACGTGTTGGAGGGTGGGAGAAGGCGGGGTGATAAATGGAAGGATCCTTAAGTGTGAGGTGTTTCTTTTTCCTTTTGGGTTGCTAGTGGGCTGTATCATAGGTTCTGTGACTTTAAAAAAATGATTTATTGATTATAGAGGGACAGGGATAGGGACATAGAAACATCATTGAGAGGGAAACAGCCACCAGCTGCCTCCTGCCTGCCCCCTGCTGGGGATCAAGCCCACAGCCAGGGTACATGACCTTACGGGGAATCTAACTAGTGACCTCTTGGTTCATGGGTTGACATTCAATCACTGAGCCACACAGCCAGGTGGTTCTATGACTTTCACAGTGGAAATAGTGATACTCAGATTGAAAGAGTCATTTACTCTAAACTAACATCCATGCACTGCCCACTGCAATGTCAACTCCCCCAGGGCAGGGCAGTCTGTGCTGGAGCCCCCAGCTTGGGAGAGCTGATGGTGAATCTCTTCCCAGCTCTCTGGCTAATGACATCATCTTTGTAGCTTGAAAACGGCCCTGGGGTACTCACGCCTGGCAATCGGTCAGTGCCACAAGCAGTAGCGGAGAACTGGTTTCTAAACACATGCCACTACTGGGCGGGTCTTTCCCCAGGGAGCTTCTGGCACACAGAGGGCACTCAAACATATGCAAGGAATGACTAAATGAGTGAACAGACACCGAGAAGAAGGAGGAGGAGGAGGAGGAGAGGAAGAGGAAGAGGAAGAGGAAGAGGAAGAGGAAGAGGAAGAAGAAGAAGAAGAAGAAGAAGAAGAAGAAGAAGAAGAAGAAGAAGAAAGAAGAAGAAGAAGAAGAAGAGAAGTAGCATTTTCTAAATTCATTTCAACCAAAACCGTGTGCAATGAGCTGCGGGGAGAGCGTGGACACTTATTTTGGGGTAGCCCAGCATCTGGGGAGCTGCCAATTCTCCTTCCTCGGGCCCTGGCCATCAGGGTCAGACCTGTTCCTGCTGGAGTTGGAGTCCACAAGGACTAAGGACCATTCCTGGGGTGGCAGGGGTCAGTGTCACCTACAGTGGCGGTTGCAGCAGTCCGGTGCCCAGCAGGACAGCTCCTAACCAGATCTGCTCCTGGGCCATGAACTATGTATGACCTTGGCAGGGGTGCCAGCCCACTTCTGTGCCTGATTCTCCATTTTCCTGTCAATTCTATGAGCTCCCAGCATCCTTGCTCTCTGAAGCGTTTCTGTTTCGGTTAATGAAGTTCTTTTTGTGGTTTGCAATTAAGAACCCTGTGTCGGGTCAGGTTGGCTGTGCAGAGATCTGTGGGGGGAAATGCCGGGGAACATAAAGAGGGAGCAGCAAGAGCCTTCAGGACATAGACCTGGGGCGTGGCTGCTGGAGGCTGTCAATCGGCCATGTGTCCCACACCTTGCTCTCCTGAGGGATACCTTCAGCAGCTCCATAAACTCCGGTCCAGGATGCAGTGATGAGACAGATCCCTGCCCTTGAAAGTTCACAATTTAGAGGGAGAAAGAGGACAAATGTATCACTGTAGTAGTTCTCAAGTGCACAGAGGCGTGCATCGGGAAGGCGCCCTGGAGGAGGTGCCTACTGGGAGCCCTGAGGCTCTTGGGTCTCTGTCCCCTTCCTTTTCTCTCCAGCTTTCCATCCGAACCCAATCTCACAAAAAGATCTGGCCACTTCCTGGCCGTGGCCTGGATCTGCAACCTGCAGAGCTGGTCAAGGTGTA